TATTAAAAATATAAATTCTTAATGATATAAGACTTGGATATTCAAGTTTTCATCAGAAACTAAGAGCATAAGAATCGGTTGAGTCTGTGAGTTTCTAATTGATTATATACCAAGTACAGCTGATGATAAAAGTACTTAAATTATGAAGTTCAATAAAAAAATATGCAAATACATCGCATTAATTATATATTAGAAACAATAGTTAATATTAGAGAGTACAGTTTTTGCTTGTTAACGCTTTAACAATGATTATGTTTAATGCTGCGGTAATAATTTTTAATGGTGTTGCGACGACGAGTTTGATTGCCCGAATCGCCCGTATAAATATGGGACATACGTAAACTGCACCCAAATGACTATTTTTTTTTTTGTAAATTGCGACTGAAATTTTATCCACGTTAAAAAAGTATAATGTAAACTGCGCTCGAATTTTATCTACGTTAAAAAGGTGTAATGTAAACCGCGCCCGTCAATTTAAGCTGTGTCCCGTTAGTAAACTATACAAAACTTTTAATTTATTTAAAGTCTCTATGATTGTGCATTTTTCCAATAATATCTTAGAAATTTAATTTTCGTATAGAAATACCAACACGTTATCAAATAACTATTATATTCTAAAAAAAAAAAAAACCGTGAAAAGTTACAAAATGTAATTAATAAAATAAATATAGTAGTGGTCAAACTCCAATATTATTGATGAATATGTAACAATAATATGTTTAATTTTACTTTTTAAAATCATATATTGTTTTTAAATTCTTAATTTAATTTAAATTTAAATTATTCAATATTATATGGTTGTAATGAATTAAGTATAAATTAAAAATAATTTTGCAAAATAAAATTTTATCTTGGCGCAGTTTACATGTCACCTTTTTACACTTGATAAAAACTCGGGTGCCGTTTACAATCGACTAAATATGTCACAAATTAAAAAGTTATGCTATACACACCGCAGTAAAGTGTTATGAACGCATTTGCTTTACCCGGAAACCGGATCCCTTTCCGACATATTGATTAGAAATGACGTTCTTCCGTCTTTCGGCGTGCACAATGGCGTGTGCGAGTATATGCCATCGATTCATCGTTATTACAATAATACACAATAATGGGAATTATTCGTACACCAATAAGCCGTAGTATAGGATAATATTATGTGATTGTAATATTTAATTTGATGTTTGTCTTGTCTTATACGTATGTAAATGTGTTACAGTGATGCATAAAAGAATCATTGGCATGTACTGTCCGCCACTTGGACTAACGGATAAATTTAACGTTACCGTGGTTGGTGCTGATTGGACTTGGACAGGAGGAATCGCATACATAGAACGTCACGCTTCCATAAGTCCTTCGCAATTGTTTCATTTGATGCTGCGCCGTTCGCAAGACGATGGGGATACAAATAGTGCGTATACATTATAACGAATAATATTATTGCAACAGTAAGACTTTGGGAGGGGAAAGAGCAAACCACGTACTTATAAAATATATCACTGGTGTAAAAAATGTTTTTCGAGTATATCAAATTACACGCACGATCACTTTTTATATTATTACCGACAACTGTAATAATTGTACGATAAAATGATTTATCGCGTACGATGTGTATATGGTTAACTTCCAGATGAACGACTTTACGCGCTTACATATAGAATACAAATCGTACGTGTTTTGTGTATTTTAATTTACGTAAATGCCCGAGCGTGTCATAGGCAAACTTCAGAAAACGTCCTAATAACCCTAGGGGGCATCTCTACATAGATTAAAATACAATTTATACTTATCGGATGAAAATGTATACGCGTGTCATCGCATTTGAAGTAATCATAGACTCAGGTGCAAAATTTTTTGTTAACAATTTAAAAATAAATACAAAAACCTAAAAGTTTAAAAATGCTTATGAATAATTTATAATTATAGTCTAAATATTCTTTGAATTGTATTTTGTATAAACAATTATGATTTAAGTACCTAAATGGTAAAGTACTTCATGTTTCTACGATTATTTTTCTACATCATATCACAATAATTTTGTGAAGTGTTTAACAACGCCATTATAACAGTATCGTTGTTCCCTTATACGAGTTATAGTAACTTCTTCAAACTATAATATGATCATCGAGTTTATATGATGATAAATCACGTCGGCATACAATAATGTGATGTATATTTTCACGCAACTTTAAAAAAACTGAAAAAAATGCGGATAGTACATACTTCAAAGTACTATGATACTTTCCGAGATTCTGGTTTTGCTTTGTAGGATCGTGTTTTTTTTTTTATTGATATATTAAAATAATTAAATAATGAACGAAAAAGTAGTTTAAAATAATAATCAAATTAGATTGCTCTTGTATTGTTTTTGAAGAATTGTAAGTTACTGTTAGTGTATATTATTAGTTATTACATAACACTAGTACTGTTATGATCCTTTGACAGATATGGATCACTTAAGGTTTGAGTGCTTATCAAAAAACAGCCCGCTCATTGAGGAAGATAAGGGCAAGGGCTGGGAGTATGTATCGCTATACGAACATACACTATTCGAATATTATTCACGAACCAAACAAGAATCTGGAGCTAATAGACAAGCCTACAGATGTGCCGTGAGTATACAACAGAGAATTAAAAACTTTAATAGTAATAGTTAGTGAAAATTAATTGGTAATTTTAACGAATCAAAAAAAAATAAAAAGGTAAATTTTAACTTAAAACTTAACTTGAATTCTATCATATTAACTACTAAAATCTAATGTGTTAAAACAGATGGGCAAGTATGGTACTGCCCAGCTGTTGCACAGTGTAGTGTCGATAGTGTGTTACTGTAATAAATTGATGTGTTAAATCATTATATTATTGTATTCACAAAACGATTTTGAACAGAGACGATCTATCAGCCTATTATATTATAATAATCGTATATTTCATAATATATTTTTTGTAATTCCGTCCAAAGTTTTGCTCTAAATGTCTTAAAAAATGTCTATGAATAGATATTTTTTGAATTCTTTAGTTTCCGTAAGAACTATTTATGAAAAAAATTGTTTTAATTTTTTTAATCTATAAAAATTGCATATTTTATAAATTTTTAACATTCTAAACAATTTACTAATGTTTATGAAAATAAATTATGTTAAATATTTTTACATGTCTATAAGATTATAATGGCTAATACACCTATAGGATATTGTGTATTAAATTATCAAACTTTTTGACTACTATTTACCCATTATTTTTTTATAGATTTATATTTTATAATAATACAATAATTTAAATAATATAGTATAATATCATTAATATCAATTACATTATATTATATTATATTATTAATATATATTTTATGTAAATATCTGTTACCACGAATAGCTGTTTAAACTTGGTCGTTAGACGTTCGGCCAATTTGACTTAAAAAAAAAAAAATGAATGAAACTATATTATTAATAAAAATTAAAAAATTAAAACGATTTAATCAAAATATTATGTTTAATATTAATTGAAATATTTTGGACCACTCCACGTAAAAACGATGTAGTTCTAATTTAATTTATTTGAATAATTTTTAAAATTCGTTTATCCACATCAATAAAATTCTTTAATTTTTTGTGAAAATGTTATTGACTAAATTTAAACCGAAATTAAACCATAATTTCTAAGCAGAATCATTCAAAATATTTCACTTAATATTATGTTTATACGTAATATTGTAATTATATTATTTTTAATATCTTAATATTGATTTATTTTTAGCATATTAAAATAAATACATTTTTTTTTTTAAATTGTATTTTAATTTTTAATTTTTATTACAAATATTTTTTTTTACGTTATGTTAATTTGTCCTAAATTGTTATTAGTTTGACGTCTATTTATCGACCAAAAGTCAATGAACCCTATAATCATATATATATGTACGTATACGCAATTTAAAAAATATAATTTTTAACAAAGAAATGATTAAAATTACTACCTATATCACTGACTAATATTTATTGCTAAATTGTTCGCAACATAACTCATCAGTTTAATTTTACTGTGAATTCAACCAGGCACCGAAATCAATGTAAATGTGCGGAAGGGTTCCAGTGTGTATATTTAAATATTTGTATTTACTTATACAAACATTAGGCTGATTGATTTTCTTCATCTAATCTGTTTATCTTTCCGTTCGGCACACAGTTATACGAGACGATTGCTAACAACCCGGATGCGTTATGGATGGCGATCGGCGAGAGAATGTATGTGGATCAACTAACGAAGTGTGACGGTCTATCAAAGATGATGGAATATGGGCCCGACCCTTCCTTGAAGCAATATCAATGGGCCGGCGGATCTATGCTTCTTTTTTTGAATAGAGCAGAGATTGAACTTCCACCAAGGAAGAAACGTTCAATGCTATCGATCAACGGCTGCAGGTTAGTTATACGAGATAGTACATATATATGTAGATATAGCGACTATACTACGAATATCAATGTATAATTTTGCATTCAGTGGGTTTTTGGTTTATTTATTAAGAGGGCTTATACTCCCGGGCAATTACAATGGTTTTATCATGATGCATTTTTTTTTTAATGTATGAGTACACATGTTGATTAAAGATTAGTTGTTGGGTAGAAATGCTTAGAAAATTTAATACAAATCTCTTCATAAGTTGTTGATTTCTTAGTTAGAACATATCAGAAATCTATCGTCAAAATATTTTTTCATATCTATTTAATCTATTTATAGGGATTATGAATATATTTTTATTAATTTACGGTTTTTACCGAAAGATAATTTTGAGTTGTATAATATATATTATATATTGAATTAATTTATTAAGAGAAGACGTGTCAACGATATATAACTGCATTTATAAGTTATATTTTTTCATAGTATAACTTTGCAAATTTTACGTTCAGAATAATCTAAATATTTTACTATATATTATTTAATATTTTGAATATCAGTGTGAATTTTCTTTCTTACTAATATTTATATTATTAAATTTAAATTTAAGAATATTACCTGTAATAATCTTACGTAGTTTTTTTTATATTTAAGGTTAAAGCAATCATGATAATTTTAAAACTGTATACTTCTACTATAGTATTTATTATTAATTATTATTATTTATAATATTTAAATCATTTTTACAGTAGACTAAAATATGTTAATGGTATGAAAACATATTTTTAATTTATTTTCCTTGGAAGATGATGAGTATTGACGACAACAAAGATAACAATAACAATAATATTATAATTTTTCATTAATTATTTTTATTATATCGTTTTGTATGTTAGGTTACAGAGTATTTAAATAGAAATTAAAAAAAATATGTTGTATATTTGGTTAGGCCATTAAGAAGGTCGGTGTATAGGATATGTTAAATTTTAATTATAAATAATGTTGTTAAGTATAAGTTTTTATAACATAATTATTATAAAGTATATTTTTACAATTAGAATTTATTCTGTTATTGTGGTTTATGTTATTATGTGGTAAATTGAATTAATTTTCGATAAAAATAATTTGCGTATGTCAATAATATGTACGAATATCATACCTATATAAAATGTTTATAATACGATCGACCGAACTAGCACTCCTGGGAAATTGGTCGGTAAAAATAGAAACACATTCATTGCACCATCTGTCCTGATTTTACTTTTTTAAAATATTTTTTATTGGAATTACATAACGAATATCTATATTAAAAATGTAAAAAGTACGCCCGATTTATAATATTATCGTGCAAGTCTTTATGAAATTTATAGGACGTCTGAAAAATGGTGCCAAGCTTACAAAGCTTACAATTAACCTTTTTAATTATCTGCCATTACTGGACTATCTAAAAAAATTATCCAATTAACTAAATAATATGTATACAATCGGTTGAAAATTTAAATGATTAACAAATGTACAAAATTGTGTTTTAAGATAGATAGGAATATTTATTATATAAGTATAGTTCTTATCTATTACTAGTAAATTGTATATCTGCCACGCTATACTGTTTTTCATATTATTTATTATTTATTGTAACGATGGAATGTGACTTTATGAATATTGCGAAAAAAGTAAACGTTAACGTGTTGTTTAGATTTCCAGATTGGTCACAAGGAACATGGTCAGGTTTACTAGTAGACGAGGATGTGGCGTACTACACAAAAGTCAGCTACGATGAAGATGACGTTGATTTTATTCAAGAAAATGACTCGGAGCTAGTTACAACAACTATTCACTATCAATATGACGAGACTAATAAATCTTCAAATTACGTGACAGCACAACAGGAAAATATTCAACGTGTGAAACGAAGTTCCACGCAGCAGAATGAACAATGTGAAACGATAAAGTTTACATGGCATTGTATGATGCCAGTTGTTAATTCCGAAAATGAAATAGGGAACGAATTTGATGCAAAGTTCCTTACATATGGTGGATTTGACGGAGGTACTACGGAAAAATATGATTCACTGAATAGCAATGATAAAAAGTGAGCAATAGTTTTACGATTTTATTTGAATGTCGTATATAAATCATTAATGGTATTATAATTATTGATTGTAAATATCGTTTAAATAGCAACAGACAAGAGTCGTTCGAAGCTGACATTACGGAAGACTCAACAATGACATTCGGATGCTTGTGGTTAGAGCTTAAAGGCCGGGAAATGTTGTTTTCCATTATCAGTGAGTACCTAAAATATTATATTGATTATAATGCGTTGATTTAAGCAAAATAACCATAAACAATGAAAAAAGGAAGATAGTAAGTAGCCGTAATTCTGCTGTACAGTAATAGCTAGTTGAGTATAATATGTGTATATCGTCATTGAGTAGGTCACTATAATTAATGTGTTAGATTTGATTTCATTGATAAATTATAAATATGAAAAACGATTCTGAACAGAGACAATTGTCAACCTTAGTTCAATCTTAGTTATAAATATTAAGCATTTTAAGAATATTTAAATATAAATAATTTACAAATGTTCATAATTCTGATGAATTTCGTCAAAATTCTAATTTTGAAGTTTATAATATTATAAAATATTTTTAATATGTTTTAATTGGTATATGAATAACTTATAAGAAGTCTTGTTCTAAATTTTTAAAATCGATAAAATTGCTTTTAATTTTGAGTTACACTAAATCCGATTTACTGAAAACTGGTTTAAAAATGGACTCAATTTTTATTACATAATTATTAATTATACTTTCCGTTTGTTAGACTCATGGTTAAAACCAGGGATGAGCAACTCAAAATTATTAGATGGCCACTTTTTAGAAAATTAAAATCTAGCATGCCAGAACATATAGAAAGCAAATAAAAAAAAAGTTCATTCATAATATTATGCGTTTTAATTAATTAGCATTTATTTTGTTTATGTGAATTTTTAACTTTAAAATTGTATGGTGTAATTTAAAAATGTAACACGGACCAGATAAAAAAGGCTCGCGGGCTGTTAGTTGCTTATCCCTGGTAGGTATATACTTACACTTAGAAATAATTTTGTTTATTGGACTCACTACACTGGTTAATGGGGTCAATTAATAATGCGTATTGTTAAGGGCATATTTTCAAATTATTTACTCTTGTTTTATTGATTTTATCGCATATATTTAAATGATTGCCTAATTACTATCTTCTTGATTCGTCATATTGAAAAATATTAATTTTTGAATTTTTTTACATAATTTGAAATCTTTACGAAACAGCTTGAAAAATAAATAAATACATTTTCTATTTTTATCATTTTAAAAGTTTTTTTTTATTAAAAATCTTAATGAATGACTATACATACATTTCGGTGTAAGTGAGTGGCGGCTCAATCCCTAAATAATGTAACAAAGCCGAGTCTGCGGCAACAACGTGAAGACGGACTTGTTAATTACTCGGGCCGTAACTCACCTGCAGCTAAAATATTATTGGGCCGCAACTCACCCACAGCCATACATTTGAAATGCATAAATAAATATATATATTGTAATAAATAAATATCAAATTTTTTTTTACTACCAATATATTAGTGTACATATCCAAGTTAAATTTTTTTTATTATAATGCATATAATATGCATTTTTATATTCTTGTATATTACGCACTATTGATTCATTTGATTCATAGAATCAAGTAATCTGATAAAAAGTGAGTTCAATAAGCGCAGCGACACCTGCTTATATTATATTGTAAAAAAAAACACATTATAAAATCACTAATCTCTAAATCTAAAAATATAACACAAACGTTATTTTTAAATTATTAGGAACAGGAGTGCTAGAAAAGGAACATGATCTAAAGATCTTTGCACAGCAACTTTGCAGTATGGAAAAAAATGATTTGTAGAGATGCGGTAAAGTGATAAATCAGAAAAAGCTTTACACTAGTTATAACCCATAGTATCAATTTAAACATATTTAGTATTTAAATTCTGTAAATATTCATAAGACATAAAAAAAATATATTGTTCTAGATTTATTTTAACTATACATTAATTCACCTATTTTCATAATGTATTTTTAATATTTAATAAAAAATCGTAGTTTTTAAGTTATAAAAATGTTAATTTTTTTAGAATTATTATTTTTAAATTAGAATTCAATCTATGTAGAATATTTCTACGAGATACTTAGTTGTAAGAGTGATGTAAAATTGTAAGTAAAAAAATAATGATTTAAATATTATGTTCTAAAGAGTTTTGATACATATGTGTATAATATTTTAGTATTGGATTAGTAATAAATTATAAGACCCATTGAAATTTGCATTTTTTTAAGCATTTATATTCAAATATTCTAGACATAAAACTTTCTAAATCTCTTGTATATTTTTTTCACGACATACGTTTAGTGCAGACAGTGCAGTTGCAAATAATAGATTTTATTCACATATGTAATCACTAATCAAATACATAGTTGAGTCTCACACATTCAGCTCAACTCATAATTTGGACGTAGTACGCTTAAAACGATGACTTACTACGTTTTATGGCATCGTAACTTAAATTAATAATAATAATACACCTGCATCATTTTATCCCGATGTGCATGACCGCGGTGAAGCGCGGTTGAGTAAGTTATGTTTCTACTCGTATTCACGATAATATGTATTTGTTTTAATTATCGATATTGTTATTTTAAAATTTTTCTAGGTAACGTAATTTTGTTGTCGATTGATCCAACAAATACGGGATAAACGAGTTTTCAGTTAAAGTATTTATATTATAACTGTATGCGTGTGTTTCGATGTATTAGTATATTAGCTACCTACGTCGCAAGTATTCCGCAGCATTTAAACAAAACGTTATATATAATCGTAAGTTTTTATACCGGAAAGATTTCACAAAAGACATTTGTATCCGTATTATAATACTTAATGCGGATAAAACCGTATGTCAATTATTTCACAATAGGTAATCTTGTATTTTCGCTATTTCTTTTTGTTTCTTATTTATTTATTTTTTCCACACGTGTTTACCGTACCCTTTCTAAATTGGGTTTTAAATGGAAAAAACCACTGGTTATATTGATTGATGAGGGTTCTAAGCCAATCTGCGACATCAAACCGGATCTACACACCACGTACAAAACCATGATCGGTGTGGGTTTTATATAAAATGTAATAATATGTTCCTTAACATTGCTGCTTTAAGCACGCAGGGTTAATACGATTCTCAATAATATATTATTGAATAGCGCCGTGTGTGTCATCTATAGCCGCAGACCATTTTCGAAATACAATCAAAATGCACCCTTTGTACGCAGTACGTATATTTAAACAACGGTCAATAATAATGCGTCCTAAAATATTTTATATTGTCTGCTACATATAAAGATTCTTAGCGATTCTCGCAGTGGGTTTTGAAATGTTTGACCGATGAGGGTTTAAACGAGCCAATATCAGTTC